CAATAATTATATTTTAAAAGTGTTAAAGTTATCGATATTTATAAGTAGTCTATAGTTGTTAATTACCTAATTGAATCTACATGATCTTCATCTTCATCTTTTGACGTGCTTGGTAAATTATCGTCATCGTCTTTAACATCTCCTTCAATCGTCGTTATAATGTCATCATAAATCTCATCTTTTTTTCTTTTTGATGGCAACGTAAGTGATGTCGATAAAGTCTCATCGCTACTGGCAACGGTATCTTGTTTAACTGAAATTTCAGAATTTTCATAATCCATTTGAAGTGATGAATTTGAGTTATTAATTGTTATATTAATATTTGCTGTTGAAGTAGTGCATAACTCTGCTTTCAATAATTGAGCGGCATTTATATTAGCTATACGTAATTCTTGTCTATTAGCAACTACCTCTTGATTTGACTTTGCACGAAGGTGCGAGTCAAATCCTTTTACTGGGAGTAGAGGCATCCCTATTGGCAAATGAGGCAAGCTATATGTAGCGTATTCATAGTTAAGGAATTAAAAATTATTTTGTACTTCTATATTGCTTGTTATAAAATCAAAGGATATATTTTGCGATTTATCAACTTCATTTTGGGGTGATTCAAATGACTGATAAACGTCTATAACTTTATTTGCCTTGACCTTTCGACGTTTTGGAGCAGGAAGAGGTTGCGGAGCTCGTCTTTGTTCATCTAATGATCAACAATTGTAAATGTTAATTATAAATCAACGATAGATTAAAATCTGTTTGTTACAAGTTTTTCATAAAATAAATAAATGATTAAATACTTACTTCGATACCGTCGAAGAAAAATATCATCTTCTTGTTTACCAAGTTCTATAACCATAAATTGTAACCTTTTTAAATCCACCTAGATATCGATTTGTGAATAACTTTTAAATCTAAAATTTCATAATAATAATTATTTATAAAAATAAAAAACTCACAACTCCACTATTGGTTAAATAGCCACCCATTAATGGCAAACAACGCTTCCATATTGTTATCAAGGTATCTATCGC